CTGCCTGCGCATGCGCGAACTGGATGTGCTGCATATCACCACCTGCCCGAGATCGGAAATACAGGTGAGCGTCACCGCCGGTTGCCGGTCACCTCGGTGACCTCTGCGGCCGGGGTCGCTGACCTTGGGGCAGCTGAGCGTGCCGCGGGCTGGGGCCGACAGCGCTAGACACTCTCCAGCGCCAGTCCCACTACATCACTCAGTTGCTCACGTGCTATCGACAAATCACTCCTGGAGTGTGGTTTACGAGCCCCGGTCGATGGCTTCCTGCCCATACCTAATGCTACAAACCACGTGGAGTGCGCTTAGCTGAGAAAATTGTGTTGACGTTAACTTGGGTGCTTCGTGGCTTATTTGCAGTGCGTATCCCTGTGCAAGTGGTGCTAAGCTGTTATCGGATTGATTTAGTCACTTCGTCCCAATACACTGCGGTGTGCTGGTTTCATTCGACCACAATCAATACTATCAGCCACCTAGTGGGGGCGCGCCAGCCACTCCAGTGCGGTGCCCATGTGACTCGTGGTCGGATGAGGTCCACATGTGTCATATTCAAGCTTTGCATGTGTTAGAAGTTTTGGAGCGATTCATGCAATGTGCGTTGAGACTAAAGTAAACCACTCGTTCCCCTGAAATGCTGAGTGAGGTATGTGCTTGTAAGCCCAATCAATAGATTCCAAGCATGCAACATATTCATCTAGGCAATGGAATATATCGGATCGTTTCTGCACCAATGACAGGCTTATAACAAACACACAGTTCTGCGCCATAGCATGCTGCTCGCTAGTATATATTTATTACCCTACCCCACTTGCCATCGGCATTGTCGAGACGCACCAGCGGCCGCGGCTCACTTCGGCTAATAGCTGGCCATAACACCCGGAGCGTTGGCTTAAGGGCCTAATAAGGTGATCGCTCGCCATCCGTGCGCTACAGTGGTCTCCGTCATCGCCAGGTTCCGACTGGGCGGCGTGCTGAACAGCCTGCAGTCCATCCGGCGACTCCACGTGGAGGTGCGGGAGCCGAAGCTGGAGAGATCAGCTGTGGGGAGGCTTTGGGCCGAGAGGCTGAAGGAACTGCGCCTCACTGGCCGCAACCTGCGCCAGATCGAGCCCGAGGCGTTCCAGGTGAGCCACCAGCCTCGCCGCGGCCCGTACCGCATCAGCCGCAGCTCACCAACCACCAGCCGCAGCTGATTTAGTGTCACCCAGCCCCAGCTGACGTCAAACCAGCCACATCCGCTGCCCTGTCAGCCGCAGCTCACCAACCACCAGCCGCAGCTGATTTAGTGTCACCCAGCCCCAGCTGACGTCAAACCAGCCACATCCGCTGCCCTGTCAGCCGCAGCTCACCAACCACCAGCCGCAGCTGATTTAGTGTCACACAGCTCCAGCTGACGTCAAACCAGCCACATCCGCTGCCTTGTCAGCCGCAGCTCACCAACCACCAGCCGCAGCTGATTTAGTGTCACCCAGCCCCAGCTGACGTCAAACCAGCCACATCCGCTGTCCTGTCAGCCGCAGCTCACCAACCACCAGCCGCAGCTGATTTAGTGTCACCCAGCCCCAGCTGACGTCAAACCAGCCACATCCGCTGCCTTGTCAGCCGCAGCTCACCAACCACCAGCCGCAGCTGATTTAGTGTCACCCAGCCCCAGCTGACGTCAAACCAGCCACATCCGCTGCCTTGCCAGCCGCAGCTCACGCCGTGTCGTTTGCGGCTGACCACATCAGCGAAGCAGATATTGTCAACCAGTACTGAAGCCGTGTGAGGCACAGTTGATACCGGGCCAGCCACACCTGATACCGTGCCAGACACAGTTGATATGAGAACAGCCACACCTGACACCATGTCAGAGCAGTTGATAGCAGGATAGCCACACCTCATACCGTGCCAGTCACCGTTGATACCAGCACAGCCATACATGATACCGTTTCTGACACAGTTGACAGCAGGCCAGCCACGCCTGGTACCTGTTAGCTTCCGTTTACGGCCCACACCGGTGGGAGGCGTCTCGACGATCCCCAGCCTCCGTCTTCGCTGGATGTTTACGAAGTTTTAGCGGGCACGTGCCGCCCGGTGCCTGTCCGTCCAGCAGGATTTCCTGACACATGCCACCCGGTGCCTGTCCGTCCACCAGGATTTCCTGACACATGCCACCCGGTGCCTGTCCGTCCAGCAGGATTTCCTGACCCGATTTTTCAAGCGCCTTTAAAAGTACGTGCAGCGTTCATAAACTTCACGCTGTCAGGGGTCCATGCCAACATTTATGGAGTAAGCACGATTTCGAGAATAAGACTATGTCTCGGTTTATTTTGGACAGTTGTACATATTAACTCGAAACACGAGTGCTGCTTGCGTCCATATGTGCATGGTCCGCCGCCCCAATCCTGCGATCCCTGTTTTGGCAGTGCCCCTAAATATAAGGTCCGGTAATTTTAGACTGCCTTGGCTACTACAGGTTATAAGAGCAGTAAAGCAGGCACGATGGCTCTGTTTATGCATCGTGTTTGGTATTGTAATTTACTGGCAGGAACATGACCGTTTTCAACCACAAACAACGTTTTCACTCCACTATTTGTGGCGCAGCGGTGCCGCTAAGATTTTATCAAGGGTAGAGAGCTCAGTGACAACGCATTATGCTGACTTTCAGCTTCCTGCGAGGAGCCATTTATGGGAAAAGGCGCCCTCCTCCTCCTTCCTTGGTGTGTCGCGGCGTAACCAAGAATTCGCCAAAATGGACTCACATCGAGTCATGTAAGACCCCTCCAGTCAGCGTAATCCCCTGTTCGTCGCTTAGGAGCTATTTCTTCGGGACATTTTATGCTTATGGCCGTGCTTTGATGTCTCGGGAACCTTTGTCATATTTGAGAACACTCACGGACGTCTTCAGCCAGCAAAAAGGAACTGAGATCTTTGGCTACAGAGTTCCCTCACCACCTGCAGGAATCCCCGTCAGTTCCAGAGGCTAAGGCATGGTCAAAAAGCACCCGCCCCCTTCGCTATGCCCATGTATGCAAGGATTCATGTGTATCAACGTTAATTGTTGTTTGTATTTACAGCAATCTTGCACGCTTGTCTGTGCTTGCGTTCCTAATTAAAGCTGACTACAGCTGAGTGCCGATTCCGCCCGTTCCCTGCACAGCCCGGACCCTGGAGCCGATCCCGTCCGCTGCCCCGCTCAGCCCGTACCCTGGAGCCGATCCCGTCCGCTGCCCCGCTCAGCCCGTACCCTGGAGCCGATCCCGTCCGCGCCCCGCTCAGCCCGGACCCTGGAGCCGATCCCGTCCGCTGCCCCGCTCAGCCCGTATCCCGGAGCTGATCCCGTCCGCTGCCTCGCTCAGCCCGGACCCTGGAGCCGATCCCGTCCGCTGTCCCGCTCAGCCCGGACCCTGGAACCGATCCCGTCCGCTGCCCCGCTCAGCCCGGACCCTGGAGCCGATCCCGTCCGCTGTCCCGCTCAGCCCGGACCCTGGAGCCGATCCCGTCCGCTGCCCCGCGCAGCCCGGACCCTGGAGCCGATTCCGCCCGTTCCCCGCTCAGCCCGTACCCTGGAGCTGATCCCGTCCGCTGCCCCGCTCAGCCCGTACCCTGGAGCCGATCCCGTCCGCTGCCCCGCTAGCCCGAACCCTGGAGCCGATCCCGTCCGCTGCCCGCTCAGCCCAGGCCCTGGCGCCGATTCCACCCGTTCCCTGCACAGCCCGTACCCCTGGCGCCGATCCCGTTCCGCTGCCCCGCGCTGCCTGAACCCCGGCGCCGCTGACAGACCTGCGGTCAGGGGACAAACGGTGATGCGAGAGCAACGGAAAGTCGCCACCACTCAGCGCGAGCAGTGCTGGCATTTTCGGAAAAGGTTACTCAGCGCGGTCCGATTACCAGCACCAGCGGCTGGGTCTCGCCAGACTGAGGCCCCGTCACACCGCCGTTGGGCCTCATCAAACTGAGGCCGCGTCACGCCACCGTTGGTCCTCATCAGACTGAGGGTCGCGTCACACCGCTGTTGGGCCTCATCAGACTGAGGCCGCGTCACGCCACCGTTGGGCCTCATCAGGCTGAGGTCGCGTCACGCCACCGTTGGGGCCTCATCAGACTGAGGTCGCGTCACGCCACTGTTGGGCCCATCAGACTGAGGCCGCGTCAACGCCACTGTTGGGCCCCATCAGACTGAGGCCCCGTCACACCGCTGTTGGGCCTCATCACACTGAGGCCCCGTCACACCGCTGTTGCGCCTGATCAGACTGAGGCCCCGTAACACCACTGCTGGGCAGCATCGGACTGAGCCCGCGCGCTGCGAGCGCCGCCGCGCTGTCAGGCCCAGCCGGCGGAGTCGGCGCTGATCAGCTCGTCGCTGGCAGGGTTTCCGAGGCCGCCACGAGCTGGTGCTGCAGGTGAGGGACACGTCCATCTCCGAGCTGCCCGACGACCTGTTGCGCGACCTGCGCCACGTGACCACTCTGACGCTTGACTTACGCCGCAACCGGCTCATCAACATGGGTCCGAGCACGCTCTACCCGAACGGCTCCGAGTGGGAGAAGGTCGGCACGAAGGCCGTCAAAGGTCAGTCTGGGAAAATGTCGACGTTCTGTCTCAAATGGTATGATAGTCTTTCAGTAAGACTTGCGCCCGGTTTAAGATAAATCAATTAACCGTCCATGACTCACGCCATTTTGCGTCGAGCCACCAGTGAGTCGATTATTTCGGATGAAAAGGATCGTGAATCACGAATCGAATCACTGGATCTAATAGGAAAAGTTAATCTGAGTCAAGCAAAGTGAATGTGAAGGCCGAATAAACCAATTCTAGCTTTTTATCTTTTGTTGAAATTACTTCCTTGTTTCTGCTGAAATGAGATTGCCTGCCACTGGTTCAGGTTGTTTTTGTATGAAGTAACCATGACAATGGATAAAGATTATCAGCCAAGAGTTTTGTGCTCTGTCTTTGTGCGATGTGGGTTACTATTCAATAAAGGGAATATTTCACACTTGAAGGCTTTTAGTATATTTCTAAGTGGAAAAGACTGCTCTAGACAATACAATTTCTCCGTTTAATACACATCTCCCTTAATACGGCATTGTTTGATTACGTCATCGCAGCTTGCACAGCATTGATTGAGAGCCAGTTAACGGCCGTTATATCTGGAAATCGTGCTCACGAACGCTTATTATGAGCGACTCGATAATCATATTTTCTTGGCCTTGACCGCCGTACGTCCAAATGAAAGGCAGGATTTGACCAACGTTATTGTGGTCCCGTAGATGTCAGGCTGACCTTGAAATAATTACCCCGAAATAGTTGGCGCATCTTCGCGGGTGTGTAGTTCAGAAACTGGAAGGGTTTATGTTTTAAGAAGAGCAGGACTGTGAGACGCACCGAATGATCTGCAAGGTGACTATTTCAGTTCAAAATATCATACAAATGTGGAACGATGCTTTAAATCAAGGATACAAGATATACCATCACCCACGCTATGCTCCAGTGAGCCTTAACACAAGCAAAATAGGCTTGCTTCATTTTAACATTGAGCTTGAAATACTTAAACCCGCAGAACTACTTGATAATATTTTGGGTCTATTTAAGGATGTGATGAAAGAATAACGACGCATTCGCAGCCACCCGGACAACAAAAATATATCCCGTCAACGTAATTTATGACGTCATAACTCATATATTCCGCGCCTTTTGGTGTTCGGAGGGATCTGGACGATGAAGCTTCTACATGACGTCACGTATAATATTTATGGGACGCGCCTTACCTTTTCCCGCAACTTGATCAAATTAAGTCATAAATGGTGCAACAGATTCAATTTAACAAAGTTAGCTTGCGCGCCCAAGACCGACCACCAGTGATACGAAGACGGTTTACATGTTCCAGTTGCAAGCAACATAATTTGCAATTTACCTTGTTTACAGCGCTGTAGTACCTACAAATAAAAGCGTGACGTCTTTTCATGCGCAGTTCTTGTCGCCACAGTTACGAAGATGCGAACAGAAAATGTGTCGCTTCTACGAACATGTCCTGCAGAGATTCTGCATGACGTCACAGAGGACAGAATATTTTTGGTGCGCTGCGAATGTATTGTATGCCTGACCGGCACCCTCCCGTGTCTGGAGCATGCCCGGTCTCATCTCCGGACTGCGTTGTCAGCTAGCAAAGCACAGCGGGCCTAAATCACACTTACAACCGACGGACCGAACGGGTCGGCAGTAGCAGGCAGACCCCAGCTGCCTAGGTGAGGTTGGCAGGCGGACCCCAGCTGCCGTGCTGGGGTCGGCAGGCAGACCCCAGCTGCCGAGCTGAGGTCGGCAGGCAGACCTCACCTGCCGTGCTTGGGGCGGCAGGCAGACCTCAGCTGCCGTGCTGAAGTCGGCAGGCAGGTCCTACCTGCTGTGCTGAGGTCGGCAAACAGGCCCTTGCTGCTGTGCTGGGGTCGGCAGGCAGGCTCTTGCTGCCGTGCTGAGGTCGGCAGGCAGGCCCTAGCTGCTGTGCTGAAGTCGGCAGGCAGACCCCAGCTGCCGTGCGTGGGGTGGCAGGCAGGCCCTAGCTGCTGTGCTGAGGCCGGCAGGCAGGCTCTTGCTGCCGTGCTGAGGTCGGCAGGCAGGCTCTAGCTGCTGTGCTGATGTCGGCAGGCAGGCTCTTGCTGCTGTGCTGAGGTCGGCAGGCAGACCCCACCTGCCGTGTTTGGGGTGGCAGGCAGGCCCTAGCTGCTGTGCTGAGGTCGGCAGGCAGGCTCTTGCTGCTGTGCTGGGTCCGCAGGCAGGCTCTTGCTGCTGTGCTGGGGTCGGCAGGCAGGCTCTTGCTGCCGTGCTGAGGTCGGCAGGCAGGCTCTTGCTGCTATGCTGGGGTCGGCAGGCAGACCCCAGCTGCCGTGCTGGGGTCGGCAGGCAGGCCCTAGCTGCTGTGCTGGGGTCGGCAGGCAGGCTCTTGCTGCTGTGCTGGGGTCGGCAGGCAGACCCCAGCTGCCCCGCGGGAAGCTGGAGGCGTGTGACCGCCGCTCCAGCTGCAGTCATCACCAGCCTCCCGGAGACGCGCCGTCTTGTTATCATCCGGTTGTGACCATTAGACGCCCGCGTCGGCACATCGATTTCTTTGTCGCCGTCAATAGGCACCGTCCCACACCACTGCAGCAAACGAACGTGCTCCTAACGAGGCCAACCTGGGGCGGCAGAAACGAGCCGTCGCCCGGCGAGCGGCCCGTCTGATCTCGGCACGCGCCAGCTCGGCGGATGCTCCGCTCATGTAATGGGTCTGGCGCTCGCGCTCTCGGCGCTGGGCGGCCGTCGGGGAGCAAGGTTATGACGGACTAAGCGGATGTGATTCGTAACGGAAGCGTTTGCGCTGAATTGTGTCATTTGTACCCAGCGGGTGACAGCCTGACATCAGTCCCCTGATCACAGTGTTCGCCCTGATATTCCAGCCGGAGGCGGACATGACCTCTGTCGCGCCCCCCAGGTGGCATTCTGCTCGGCGAGAACCGCTGGGTGTGCGACTGCGCGCTGACCTGGCTGGGCCAGTGGCAGCGCCGCTGGGTGCGCGAGAGCCTGCGCATCCACACAGCCGTACCCCGCAGCGCTCAGCACGTGCACCACGTGGTGCGGCAGGCCACCTGCACCGACCTCAGGTCAGTCCGGCCGAGTCAGGTCACGACAGGCTGAGCGGCCCACTACTCAGCGGTCACGGCCCATGAGGCAGGCCATCTGGGCCGCGCGCTGGCCGGTCATGAACGGGCCAGAGCCTGTGTGTCCCGTGGCCGCCCGCGTACCTCGTGCGGCTTTGGAAGCCACAACAGCCCAGTGCAGCCGAAATTTGGTTTAATGGAGCTTCACTAAATGCCTTCACGCATCTGAGGAAGAACAACTCAGACGCAGCTCTTCGCATCACGTTCACAGCTGCTGCACCGCTCCGGAGCTCCCGTGTTCCGTCTCTGAAAGTGCTCCGTCTGCACCTGCCGTGTTCCGTCTGTGGTTGCTGTGCACCGTATATTATATAGCTGCAGTGCTCTCTTCTTTAGGTGCAGTGTGCCGTTGACAGCTGCCATGTCCCTGTATGTGGCCACAGTGTGCCGTCGGTAGCTGCCGTGCTCCTGTATGTAGCCACAGTGTGCCGTCGGCAGCTGCCGTGTTCCTGTCTGTAGCCACAGTGTGCCGTCGACAGCTGCCGCGCTCCTGTATATGGGAGCGGCGTACTGTCGACAGCTGCCGTGCTCCCGCATGTGACTGCGGCGTACTGCCGACAGCTGCCGTGTTCCTGTCCGTAACCACAGTGTGCCGTCGACAGCTGCCGTGTTCCTGTCTGTGGCAGCGTTGTTTTATCTGTGGCTGCCACTTGACCTCTTTGCGTCCGCCGAGTCTCACGTGACGTGTGTGGCCTCAGGACGGGCTCGGAGACGCCGATCATGGAGCTGCGCGCAGAGGACCTACGCTGTCGGATCGGCGCCGTCGGCCGAGGTGGCCGGCCCGCCGCCGGGGCGCCGCTGCTGCTGGCACTGCTGCTGCCGCTCGCGACGCACCTGCGGTTCGGGGCGCACCTGCTGGCTTGTGGAGCACACCTGCTGGTCTCGGCAGCGCACCTGCTGACCTGTGAAGTCCGCCTGTTGCTGTCGCGGGCGCGCCTACTCGGCGTCACGTAGGTGGCCTGAAGGCGGGCGCCGGCGACTATCCGTCGCGCTCTGGTTTGCTCAGCCTGTGGTGGAGACTGATAAGGCTGCGTTGCTCCTGTTTGCGGATGTTGTGTTACCGTCGGGCCGCGGCCCTCAGCTTGTGCTGTACCCACGCCCTCCTCCGTTGCGCGCCAGGGGTGCACCGTCTGTCTAGCGACGGCGGCGTGCGCTCAAGTTGGGCCATTTAGCAGATGATGGTCGTATCGATTGGCAAGGCTGGCATTAGGGGTTGACAGGCGTCTGGAATTAATTGGATCGTGCGGCAGGCAACCATCGAGTGAGGCTAGTTTGTCAACAGCGCTGAGCGCTGTCGGGCTTTATGCTGTTGGAGGATGATCAGTTACGGATGTCGGAACTTAACGCACCGCACAACTTCTTGTATGACCCCGCGCAACCAAACCGCGTACTGCTAAAGTGAAGGCGGGACTTTTGTTGGGAATAACAGAATAAGAAAAAGGGCTTTGACTTAATCTAGATCATTCATGTTCACCAGGATGATGTATGACATCTAATTGGTGAACCAGACTGTGAACACGTTGTTTGGTGCAGAAGTAAGCACGTTGGACTAATCAAAGCTTCTATCAAATTTGTGTAGTCTGGGAACAACCGGCACAAACAATGCTTGGCTGAATCTCCCCCTGGTACCCGCGTACATGCCGTCCAGCCGCCTTTCTCGCGTTATCCGCGGTGTTCGCCCAGTACGACGGCCGAACAATCACCACCTCGTGACGTGCGGGAAAACATCAGCGCGCAGCGACATGCGAGACAAACCAGTACGCAAAGACGCATTGAACAAACCAGACTGGGTCGTCAGCAGCCACAAGTGGACGTCGCGACAGTCATATGTTCTGTGTTGTCTAGGGACGGCACTTCGTATGGGTGGGGTTACTCAGCAGTGCGGAGTTGTGGAGTCCATCCCAACGTGGAAATCGGTGCGAAACATCCCCACCAGCCTCTAGGTGCACCTGTTTCTTACAAACATGTCATTACCTTAAGTTGTTCAATTAACATAGGTTCACAACATGCAACATGTCAAAAACTGTAAAAAACGTGCGAGCATATCAACATAATTTACTTTTATTCCATCATGTTTTTTTACCTTACTGATCCACTAAACAATCGACTCCAAAAAATACTCGCGGGCAAGCCATCCTGCACAACACCTTAAGTTACAAGTGATATGCATCTCCGTTTAGCAGAAATTGCTATATAGTTTCACGCAAACGTTGCATTGTAAGTCGCATAAAATAGGCACAGGTGTGTCTGGATATTGTCGTGGATTTATCATTGGTGTCGCTTTATCATTGGTGTAGATTCTCCACACCCGCTTTTGGGTTTCTTACCAGCCCACGCCACATTCAAAAACGTTTCTCCGCCCCTAGTGATGACTGCTACCACACCTTTGCAACACGGTTGAACGCCGCACTCTTGTCCAGTCGTTGGAGGGGATGGGGAGGGGAGGGGATCTGAACCGACCTGTTGTGTGAGACGGTGAGGTGCCGGCGGCGCAACAGTTGCGTGCAGTCGCCTGCCTCAGCGGCGGCGGCACGTCACGGACGCGGCGTGAGGGAGGGCAGGGGAGGGGGGGGGGGGAGGATCGCACCTCGGCCGTCGCGTGCGCGGCACCCTATACGTCACGGGAGGCGCGTGCGGTGGTCTCGCCGGGCCTGAGCGGCCGGCTCTGTCCGGCGCCAGTCGGGGCTGTGTGACGTCTGGCAGACCTGCTTCAACATATCATTAGTGTGCGGAGTGAGACCGGTTGTTGTGAGTGGCGGTGGCTGCGGCGGCGAGCTCGGTCGGAGCGGCTGAGCATTGCTGTTCTCTGTTGGAGCCTCGATGGCAATATATGCTCGAGCCGCTGCCAGCGCCCACCGCCGTACCCAGCGGGCCCAGTGTACGGCCGGGCGCGATGGTCCCCGGCGAGGTGGGAGTACCCTGCCCGGCGCGACCGCCGGCCCCGCCGGGCCCCGCAGGACCTCTGGCGTGCTCGGCAGAGGCCTGCTCCGGCTCAGATGTCACCTCCAGCACACTGTGAAGGCCGGCGTCGCGGTCGACCGCCGACGGCTCGAACGGGGTCAGGTCAGACCAGTTGTTCCCCTCCAATCAGCGTCCTGTCCCCCGGGACCGTGTGGCGTAAACCTTCCGGGTCGGAACAGCGCGCCAGGGTTGGTACCCAGCTACGCGACCCAGCGCGCTGAGTGGCCGGGTCCTGATGACTTTACGCTTCGTAGCAAATTAGTAAGAACGAATATGTCACTTGAAAAGGTCGTCAGAAGGCAGGGTCAGTCCACACGTGCGTGTGCAGCCCTCGGCCGTGCCTCGCCGCACTGGGAGCAGGGGGCCCGGACGTTCGGGAAGTTACGGTTCAATGCCTCGACACCTGAATTACAATAGCGCTCTGTGATTACAGCAAGCCCGTCGTCTGAGCGCGTCTCGAGCAGACTCAGCAGACTTATGCGGAGGACGTGGCTATGTGGCATGCTGTGCCAGTAATTTTCGATTCCACGTTCGCTAAAACACGGTTCACTTCATGGCCTTGCAGTTTCACTTCAAACTGGCTCGCTCAAACAACTAACAAACAAGTCAATGGGTTTAAATAATCCACGGGGTAATTAAATGGAAAGGCATAGCCGAAATGAACGGTTGGCCAGCTGTTGCAGGAGAGCCATCGGTCGGCCCCCTGTCTCGCGGCGTGTCGGGCCGCTCGCTCTGAGCTGCCGTCTGGACGGTGTCCGTCGCCAGTCGGTGTGCCCCGGCCCGGCCCGGCGCTGCTGGTTCCGGGAGGATCGCTGTCGTCCCGAGCCGGCGGCGCCCCTGGCCTGAACCCCGGCCATCTGCGCACCGACCGCACCCTGCCAGCCGTCCCACCATCCGCAACCACTTCACTGTGTACGCAATGGAAATACAATTTGTATATTTTCCAACCGGTGTCTTCCTAATGGCCGTCTTGGCTCGGAGAGTGTGACAGCTAATGGACGCGGACGATTAGTGTCCCTCCGGTTTGTGCCGCGTGGCCGCACAGGCCGCGAAGTCAGCGGGCTTCTCGCTCCGTTACATCATGCAGTTTTAAGACCTTGTTAGCAATCGGTGGATCCAATTCCAAATGCAATTTTCCGCGAAGCCCAGCTGAGGTCCTGAAGGGCGGATCCCGCACGCCGTCTCAGGGGAGGGGAAGAAGGGATTGGGAGCTAAAATCTGAGACCAATCCAAAAGTTTAAAATCCAAAAGATGCTCTGATTTCACAAACAGTTCAACATAAGTTCCTTTTTTGCCGCAAGAAGCGCTACAAACTTAGCTTCTTTTCGCAAAAGGCGCTTCAATTTTCCTCAAAGTTAAAAAACTAAGTAATTTTTGCTCGATTCTGTTCGGGACATTGTCCGGTTCTGCAGCCCCCCCCCCCCCCTGGATCAGCCTTTAGAGGTCTTGTTACTCAGGGTGTATACGCCAGGAGGAGAAGTAAGTGTGGTGAATGGCCACCAATGCAATGACAAATCGCAATCCGGTGGCGCATTCGGCACGGCGAGTAGATTAAATCTTGCCTCGCGTGTAGGCCCATAGTTTGGTTCTTGATTATTACATAATTCACTCGCCATCATCGCCTTTTTTAAAAATCGTTAGAGGGGGAGCTGTACCAAGTGAAAAGGACTCGCAATACCCCCATACTCGCGGAAGATCTACATCGCTTACGGATTATGAGTTCACTTCTCTTTAAAGTTATGAGAGGTCCGACGGCAACGCTGAAGTCCCTGTCTGCAAAGTTGGGGAGCCGCTGGAGCTCCTCCAAATGAATATGAAACTGCTGCGCACTAGATCATCACGGAGTAAGTAAGTCCATGGGTGCTGTAACAACCATAAGCTTCAACTGCACCACTTTTGATTCGCAGAAAATCCCGCGCGCGAAGGTCTGTGGTGCCCACCGCGACGCATCGTCAGCAGGTGTTCACACGATTTTTCATTTCATAACCATAATTCATGTCAGTATATTCTCTTACTCATACTCCCAACATTTTGGTGATAAGCTATTTTAAGTTTCCCCTCCTCCTTCGCATTTGTAGTTGGTAAATGGCATTCCAGTGCCTACGATCTACTCTGGTACGATACAGATTCCATAGTCCGGGTGCTTTTATCACCATTCTCAAAGCAACGTCACCGGCGTTAGCCAATGCTATGCATGAGGTGACAATAACATTAGATCCCACGCACACTTAACGTGCAGGTCTCCAATGAAGGACAAATGACAGAATGCAGGCTCCAATTAATTTAGAACCTGCGCGTTAATACCAGGTCAGCATTGTAACACAGCGGACTTTTGCGGGCTGAATCATCAGGTTGTCGGACCGGGCCGGGCCGCGGGCTGACAAGTCTGGAAAAAGTTGCGTCTCTAGTCCAGACCCTAACGGAGTCTCCAGCCAAGATCAGGGGATCCCATCCTTCTCGATAAGGGGTCGAAGGGCTTTTCCGTCCCATTTCGGGTTACCTACCGGCTATCATTCTGGTGACACCTGGGCTGAGGCCGACAGATCGTTCCAGAAGCCCTCAGAGAGATGCATGGTACATCGGTTACCGCCCTCACACCGAGGGCACTCTGAACGGGACGGTTGACCCTGGGTCGACGCACGGGCCCTCATCGTCGCAACATGGTTCTTTCCTAGCGTAGAGGGTTCAATACATAGCGCAGGGATGACCCCGGCTCAACTTTTGGGTCCCTAGATGAAACGGGAACATGGACACGGTTCGATACTGGAACCACCTGACTGATACGGGGCCCTTCCACTGCCTTACCATGACCCCTTTCATATCTCCTTTTATTGTCAGTCTCCTCGACCAACGTAAAGTACCTCGTCACACTCGGGATACCGTTCCTATCATCCATTCAGCAAATGGCCCGTGGGTCGACTCGGGACTCTTGCAGACATGGGACCCCCTGTTAGTGGGATCCCGGCTTGGGGACCTTCGCAGACATGGGATCCCCGTCTCAGGGACCTTTGCAGACACGGGATCCCTGCTGGGCACCGTGGGTCCCTAGCCGACACAGGAGCCCCAGTTGTCTTAGGGATCCCGACCAATGCTGGCGGTCTTATTACTGATATTGGCGGCCAAGGCTCGCCCCTGCTTGGAAAAGCCTCTCCCCTCGTTGACATGGAGCAGACCGTTTGGCATTTGGGGACATCGGCCAACATAGGGAACCTGGATTTGTCCCAGGGAAATGAGAATCGGTGCAGGAGACCCTCTGAACGGCACTCGGAGCCCCCGATCCGCAGGACCGGTATTCGCTAATACGACCAACCCTTAGGGCTCTTCGAGCTCCTCCATCAGGCCCGTTTTCTTTGGTTTCCACGAGCTGTTCAACCTCCGGGACCTACAGGGAGGCACATTTCTGTGCCGTCTGCCTGCGCTCCGGGGCCCGCGGGCAGTCAAGGGGGCTCTTGGACGGAAGCAGGGCCTTTGAGCTACCAAACAGTCCCTGTGTAACCTGCGAGAACCCGGGCATCCAGTGGGCCGTGAGGATACAGCTTGATGACAGGCGACCACATAGCCGCTGGGTGGTCAGTGGGCCTTCAACATACAGCCAAACACTTAGGTAGCCAGGTCCTTCGACCAATCAGAGTTGCCCATTGGGGACAACAGGGGCCCCGGACGGTCGGTAAAGCCCCTGAGCAGTCAGAGGAGAAGGCCACTGGTCGGAGGCTCCACAATAGCCGAAGGGACCTTTCATTAGCCCGCCAGACCCTGAGCAATTTAAACGGCCCATGCCACTGCGTCCCCTAGTTTTCCTTCGGAGTAGCGCGCAGTAGGTAGTCTCCCACACACCCACCGCGCCCCATCGATGTCTCAACTACACCAGTCAACAGTCGCGCTCGTCCAAACGTAGATACCATGTCTGAAAACTCGTGTATTCACGCAATCCGCGCGGAAATGTGCAAACAGGAACACAGTCGGCTGCGCGTAGCGGACCACCGGATTTGGGGCACGGCGCTACCCAGCGGCCGATCACGGAATACCAAACAAAACCGAAAAAAATCAAATACGCACGTGACTGCTTCCGACACGCACCGCATCGCAGCACTGCTCAAGGTATCCAATGACTCGTCCACTTCTGATCCGGCGCCAGCGGGGTAGTGCGGGGACGGACGGATGCGTTACTCGGTGAACTGGCCGATCAGACCCCGGGCGTCCCGGTGACCGACAACACGCGGGAGGGAGAGACGGACAACATGCCAATGGAGGGAGAGCAGCCCGTCGGATTGGACGGGCCGACCCATGTCCAGTCAGTCCGGCGGCAGCGCTGCGCGGGAGGCCGGACACGTGCCGCCACCGCGAGCGAGCCGCGTTCGACCGGGGCGGCAGGCGCCGGGTACGAGGCGGACGGCACGGGCCATGTGGGAGACGGGGTGGGAGGCGGACAGCACGGGCCATGTGGGAGACGGACGGCGCGGGCCGGGTGGAGGGCGGACGGCACAGGCTGGGTGGAGGCGGACGGCACGGGCCGTGTAGGAGACGGACGGCACGGGCCGGGTCCCGGGGCGACCAGCAGCTCCCAGCAGAGCGCGGCGGCGAGCTCAGCGCCAGGCGCGGGAGGCGCGTTGCCGCCGCTTGGGCTCGCCCGCCTGCGACTGGCCGAGGAGGGCGCCGCCCAGCTGCGATTGGCTGGACTTGGCGCGCCGCACCGGGTTCGGTGCGTAGATGTTGGCCAGCTGGACGAGACTGCGTGCTGACCGGGCGCCGCGGCCGCCCGGCCCGGCTGGAACGGCACCAAACGATCAGCAGCGCGGCGGCTGGGGTCGGGTCTGGCCCGCAGATACACGGCGCACCGCCGCGCCATGACGTCGTGCACGAGACGGAACGCCTCAGATCGCGCCTGTACGGCAGAAAAAGTATGGACGCTCCATGGACAAACCAAATTACCTCCATTCGTTTCATTGAGACATCATGGCAGCGACTGTGGGGTGTTGGCAGGTATATTTCAGGTTCCGCGTGGATGTCGCTGGCGCAATCATCACAGTGATGCCACGAGCTGGCCGTTCGTCATGTCAC